AAAGGAGAGATGAATAACTAGCCTTGGGCTAGATGGATTTAGAATTCAGTGAATATCCAAAGCATAGTTTCATAAATTGGTTGGCAATACATAAAAGATTATTGACAAGGGAAAGATTGGGAAAAATTAGAGTGTGCATAGAAACAAGATGTGGAATATGTGGGGGAGGCACAGAAACATTACAACATTTATTTTTTGAGTGTCATTTCTCAGAAGAATGCTTAAAACTTCTGAAGGAGTGGCTTGGACTGAGGGCAAATGTATTAAGCATTTATGGAACATGGCAAAGGATAACAAGAAGTGTCAAAGAAAAAATATGCAGAAAATTAATCACAGCAGTGTTGGCAGCATTAGTGTACAAGATATGGCAAGCTAAAAATGATGTAATATGGAATGGTAAAGTACCAAGTCCAGTGTTGGTGTGCAAACAAATTCAACAAGAATGCAGAGTTAGACTAAGCATGCATCATATTAGGAAAAAAGGGAGAAGAAGTAGGGAATGGATAGAGAACATATATAACAAAAAGATTGGAAAGGATAGATAGCAGATTTTGCGACTAGAAGGATTTCTTCTAGTTTGTATAGATGTTTGAATGTAATTCTGGTTTGGTTGGAGATTAATAATATTTTTCTTTACACCAAAAAAAAATCTACAACTTTCATACATTATTTCAACCCAGTTAAATACAACTACAATATCATACAACTTAAATATAATTTTTATACAATATGTCTTTTGTATATATTTTGTATATGGTGTTGTNTATATATACACAACAGACTCAATTTACATATTATTATAATACAACTTTACTACAATTTCGTTATATTGTATGTCATGTGTTCTTCTTCTTCTTCTAAAATTCAGCCAAAATAAAGTCTAATCTTCACCAAAACACCCTCAAAATTGAGATATAAACTCCAAACAATACTCTCAATTGTTTGTAACAACACCCAATCCAAAAAAATAATGGTTTTTGAAAATTCAAATTCGATTTCAAAGCTTCAAAACTTTTTAATTGCTGTCAATGTTGGAGAGTCAAACACCTTCAAAATTTATTGATTGACAATTTCAATTTGAACACCAATCGTGCAACATGAAAGGAAATTGCTAAGTTAAAACTATTGAAATCCATTAGTGAATTCCATTAAAACTCTATACAACAAGAAAGCATAAAATAATAGAGAACATCAAATGAAGAAAAATTGGGGAAAAAAACAGAGAAGGAGAGTAGAGAGACGAAGAGAGAGAGAGAGAGAGAGAGAGAGAGAGAGAGAGAGAGAGAGAGAGAGAGGGGGCAAGTATAAACGGATAAGGAAATAACTGATATTCCTTATTCAATTCCTAATATAAAGGGATACTCATTTAAAAATTATTTGTATATAATTGGTAAATTGTATATGATCATGTAATAAATTGAAACTTGAGTAGGGAGGGTAATAAAGTTTCAAATAGTGTATAGTAAGTTAAAAAAACCCTTAATGTAATGCATTTTACAAATCGTATTGGAAAATACGCTTCACAAAATCGCATTCAGGTGATGCGTTTTACAAATCACATTCAACGTAATGAGCTTTACAAATCGCATTCAGGTAATGCTTTTTACAAATCGCAGTCAACTAATGCATTTTACAAATCGTATTGGAAAATACGCTTCACAAAATCGCATTCAGGTAATGCTTTTTACAAATCGCAGTCAACTAATGCATTTTACAAATTGCATCCTTGTTTTTACAAATCTGCCAAATGTGTTTGAACCAATAACATCTTGTATACCATATTGAATTGTGTACCATCTCAATTAAAAACACTTAAGTTGTTAGAGAGAATTGATTTTTAGTTACAACAACTACGTACGTTTCAGTCCCATATAAGTTATGGTCGCTTATATAAATCTTAACTTACCATGATTCTCCATTAAAATTAATCTCAAACCAACAATATACATAAAAACTAATATATCAAATGCATTATAGTAAATTTTTAATTATTTAATTATATTATTTCTCAACAAGTACGATAGCGTTTTGGGGTATTTTCTACCGCCTTAGATGACGAGAAGAAGTTTGAATCAACGAGCAATGATTGTTGATTTTGCTAATGATTATGCCATGAATTGTGAATAGGCTTTTGCTTCAAGAGATGTTCATGATTATGGAATTTCAAAGGGTGATAATCTTGTTATGTATTTCAGTTTATCTACTGGAGTGGTTATCAACGTAATTGGAGAAACAACTCATACCCATTTTTGATCTTTTTGTTGTTTAACTTTAGCATTTATGGGGAAATAATCTATTTTATTTAAGTGCACATTTTATTTTTCCCGACTAGTTCGATTTGATTTTATTATTCTATATGGTGCTCACCTTGTTAAGCAAGTCGATAGACACTTAAATGCCATAATTGATAGAGGGTGTCAATGGTTCGGTTCGGCCGGTTATTTTATAAAATTTATACTATACCAATTTTTCGATTATTCTATTTTGTATAACCAAAGTTAGACTTTTCGAAACCGTCCTAATCATGTCGGTTTCTCTTTGGTATCGGTATGATTCGGTTAATTTTTTGTATTTTTAAAAAAAATCATGTAAAATTTAATAGTAGAAGTAGAATGCAATAATGTACGTTCTTTTATAGGACTTAACAAAACTCTCTAGATATTTTTACTGTTTAATGGTGATGAATTAAAAAAAAATAAAAGATGGATGGAATATAGATCCATCAACTATTATATAACAACGTAAAAGAAACCAAGCAAAGACAAAGAAAATATAAATCACACGAGTGGAAAGATATTAACCAAGCTGAGACTCAAGAATAAAGTATATAGAAAATTAAATATTTAAAAAGATAAATCTAAATTATATAAAAGGAAACATATTCAATACATTGTAGTTTGCTACTCATAATCGCTATAATACTTTGTGTCTTACTAATAAAGATACTCAAAATAACTTATTTTAAGTAGAAGTAGCAAAACATGTTTTAGGAATTAGTATTTTGAGTTTAATTACTTGTTAGCTTGTAATAATTTTCATAATTCTAAGGCCCAAAGAAAAATTTAATGCATTATTATTTTTATACTTAATAGATAAATATATTTTCCACATGTAAAATTTATTCGGTACGATTCGGTATTTTTTCGGTTTATTTTTATAAAATAAAAAATCTACCCTAATTATCGGCGTGGTTATATATTTATATAAAAACCTACGATTTTTTAAAAAGAAACCTAAAAATCGGTCTGGTGCAGTACAATTCGGTCAGTTTAGTCGGTTTTCGAATATTCATGGACACCCCTAATAACTGGTCTCCATAAATAAAACTAAGGTTACCAAACTCATTGTAAATGATTTCATTTATGTAGTCATAAATCCGTTAAAGATTTCGAGCATTGTCTCCACGAGGAAATAAAATGCTTAAATTCGAGGTGATGTCTTTTTGCCTCCGTTATAATAACTCAAATGGCACCAAAAGATGAGAGAAGAAGAGCTTATTGCATTCTTCATTCCTTGGAGCATTATACAAATTTTATAGACATAAGTGAACTACTATAGAATTAAATAATCTAAATAATAAAATTTTCATTGATGAATTACCACGATATGCAAATTTTACAATAGTTTATTATGAAATGCAAATTATCAAAGCCCAAGATTTTTTTATCTACGTTGATTTTGGTTGAGAAATAGGTGGCTGTAATCTAAATCGCCTGTAAAAATGGCTAAATGAGTGAAGATGGCTGCAGTCGAGGACCTGTCCGGGACGAGGCTTGAGTTTTTTTAATTGAAGTGATAAGTTGCCGGCGACCCTATTGTTAAATAGACGGAAAAACAGAAAATAAGAGTTTAGTACTTAATACTTATATAGTTCATTTTGCAGCCTATTTAGAAATAGTAAACAGTGAATTCAGTTGGTTATTTATGCAAAGCTGGTTATTTATGTAAAGATTCTAATATAAGCAGGCCCAAAGGATCATTCCCATAACAATAGACCGGTCCAAAATGTATCGCGGTCCGCCCCGAATCACAGCGGTGAGATTCTAATAATTATTTTAGCAAATATATCCTTAGAAACTTATCTTTATTTCGAAAATACCCTCTTTATATAAATTCCTATAATTAAACCATCCTGTATAAAGTTTGTTGAACTCCAACGCCATTAACAGCGGAAGTTCATTTTTCGCCTCCGGTGAAGATTCAACTATAGCTTTATCATTTTTTACTGAAGTCATTTTTTGTATATAAAATTTTCAGATTATTTTGATATTTTTCATTTTTCGCAGCTGTTTTAAAAATGATAGCAGCTATTTCGTGGGTTCCCAAAGGGATTGCAAAGGCAGTTCCAGCTGCGGCTGAGCCCCCTTCTAAAGAAGAAATTGAGGAGCTTTTGAAGAGTGGTCTCCTTGATAAAAGGTATTATTATTATTATTAATTTTTTCTTTAAGTTTTTTTTTTTTTGGCTGTTCCTCAAAGTAAATGATATCGACCGATTTAAGACCTAGTTTTTTTGGATATTTGAACTGAACTTGATACTATTATCATGTCTTGTGTCACCCTATAGATGAACTGGTCAGTGAAGGTGTTAAAAGGGATGAGTTAGACCTAAAATCATATGGAAAGAAGTTGTCTCCAAAAGAATATCAATTTGTTGGAATCAATGCAAACTTAGCTAAAGATATTGCACAAATGAAGAAAAAGCTTTAAATTTGTTAGACAACTTTTAATACTCCTATTATTACTATTTTATTATATGAGTTGAGCTTAAAGAAAGAAGTAAGGATTCATATTACAGAACCCAACTTTGTTTGGAACTGAAGCGTAGTTATTATATTGTTTTGTATTGTATTGGAACTTAACTTGATACTTCCTTCTGTGAAATCTTTGCTTTGCCTTACTCTTGAAAGTCTGTTGCTTTATTTTCCTTGCAGTGAAGATAGTGATAATGAGGAAGCTGAAGAAGATATGAATGTTGATGAATTCAAGGAAAATGAGGATGATGAAGTTGCTGTTGCATTAGCAGCTGCTAATGCACTTGGAAAAGCTACAAAAGATGTCTCTCTAGGAACCGATGACATAGCAAATGGTTTAAAGGAATTGAACATGGAAAAGTACGATGACGAGGAGGATGGTAACTCCATAACCCTGTTAGCTTATATGTTCATTTGGGTTGAATACTGTTTTTTTTCCTTCATTATTATACCTAACGTACTGGCACCCAAAGACTGATGTAGCACTCGAGCACCGTGTTCATCTGAACCCAGTAATTTCGACGCATAACATAAATTCATGTATAAAAATTTATCAATATTGCAACAAATAACAGGTCTGAACCCATAATTTTAAGAATACAATGGGTTCAATGCTAAAAAACTTAAAGGTTGAACTCAGGAAACTTAAATCCTAAATCCGCCTCTACTGGCACCCAGGGACTAGCTAAGTCTCCACTATGACATATCAGTTTTTACTTGGAAAGCTGTTCCTACTTTTATTCTTAACTGTCAAATTTTAAATGGATTTTGATTTAGTTTGCATCTCTCTTTGCATGTGTTTGGCATTGTCAGACATTGAGCTTTTCGGTTCGGGACTCAAAGACTTGTACTACCCAAGTAATGACATGGACCCGTATCTCTAGGATAAGGTTGCAGAAGGACCATTTTGTTTCCCTCACGTTGGCTCCTTTGAAGTATTTACCATTTTACTTACTGTTGAAATTTTTCTCTCGGGATAATGACTCTGAGGAGGATGAGGACATGACAATAAAACCTGACGATTCTATTATAGTTTGTGCAAGCAATGATGATGATGTCAGTCATCTCGAGGCAAGTAAAACTTACTTCAGACTAAATTATACTTTCATCTGTATGCCCCTGGTAATTTCATTTGGCCACCTTTAATTTTGTGACGTTCATCCGTGCCAGCAGATTTGGATTTTGGAAGTTTTATCAGATGGTACTGTAAACATGTATGTTCATCATGAGATTATTATTCCTGCGTTTCCTCTCTGCACAGCATGGCTCGATTGCCCTATTAAAAGTGGCGAGGGGAAAGGTAAGGTTCTGCTTGAAGTTGAGCTTGCTGCTGAAGTATTTTCTCTTAGTGGTTGTTGAACATATATAACTTTCAGAAGCAATTCTTTGACATCATTTTTACTTCTTATATTTCACTTTGTTATATATATTTTTCATTTCTTTTGTCCAGATAATAATTGTTGGACATGCTTTAATCATTGACATCATTTTTTTGGCAAATGTTCATTAGCGCTTTTTCTTCACTAAAAGCCCACTCTTTAGTTGCTTTTGCACTAAAGCCCTTGGCAACGGCACTTTCCTGTGCTTCTTTACCGTGGTAGATTTCAATAATTTCAGAGGCTAAAGAAATTATGCTGCTCACTATGATATAGGAGTACTTCTTTTTTAAAATTAGTATTAAACTAAGAGATTCATTTGCCATATAAGATGACCTTTTAATAAAATTGCTATGATAAATTCTATTTAAGTTGCATTTCTCTCACCCTGCTTAGCCCTTTCTCTTGACCTGTAGCGTTTGGTAGAATGGCAGCCACCAGCACTACGCACTTGTTTAGAAGGCAAACCTTTCAGAACCTTCCGCAAACATTAATTTGCGATCGGGCTATATACTCTTCCATTGTTTCACTCTTTTCTCCTCAGTATTTATTTCTTTTCTTTTACCCTACCACAGAAATTAGGCACACTGAATCTATTTGATGCAGTTTGATCTTAGATTTGTAAAAGTTGATCTTTGTATTTTGATGTTGTACTTCCTTTGCTCTTGTTAATAAATGAGTTATATGTTGATAGGGAACTTCATAGCTGTGGGCTCAATGGAACTAGCAATTGAAATTTGGGACCTAGACGTAGTAAGTGACTGCACACTGATCTTGATGAACTCCTGACTCACTACTGATCATATCGCACATCTTCATTCTTTGTAGTTGGATGAGGTGCAACCAGCTGCTGTATTAGGTGGAATCGCTGACATAAAGAAAAAGGGGAAGAAGGTAATCTTTAATCCAATTTTCAATTGGAATGGTCTTGTATGCTAAGTCAGCTTGTTCAGCTGAAATTAGTTTTATATGTTAAAGGTAGAAAAAATGTGGACTAGTTTCCTGGCTTCTCTGTTGAATAAAGTAGTAGGTTAATTTCAACACTTGCCCATCACCGATGGTCATTGTTCCCAAGTTCCTTCTTACTTCATGCATGTAGGGCTGTCATCTTCCACTTATATATGATGCTGTTAAGTGTTAATAAATTTCCTTCTCTCCTGTCCAAAGGAAACAAGGGCCGCGTATACCTCAACACCAATGTGGACCTTTTTTTTTGCGGGATACCCTACTAAACTGTTAAGAGTTGACTGCGTATGATTCAACGATTGGTGTCTCAATGCTGCAATGTAACTCATTAATGCATGGATTGTTGCGCATGCCCGATCTTCACAATAGTACTGTATTTTCGTGCTTGATATTATGAGGTAGGAACTATCCATATTAGTAGTCTTAAGAGGCTCTAATTGATGGCCATGTGAGCAACTTGAGGTGGTGATGTTCTTGATATTGTTAGGCTTTAATGTATAAGAGGCTTGTCCGAGTATTCAAGCAGCTAGTTGGAACTGCAGTGTATTAGTTGTCGATTTCTGTTATTGGATGTCTTGAAGGGCTTGGACTTCAGTTCAACTGACATGTTCTTCGTTAACTCACTCTCTGCGCCTCTACTCTACACTATACATGCGATGCAGGGCAAGCGCATATGTGCCGAGGAGTCGATTATTGACATTATTAGTTTCTATATTAAAAATTAAATTGACCAATTATATGGTTTGAAGAGAAACTACCTCTTCACCCATCAAAAGAAAAAGAGAAACTACCCTTTAAATAACCATTTTGTTGTTTTTCTGTCATGGCAGCAAATCTGGTCAACTTTGTTAGAGCTATTTAACACATACCAAATACCAGTGTTCAAACCTCATTCTTTAGAAAATGAAAGAAAAGGAATGATAGTTTGCATGGTGGATGGTCTTTACGATTTGATAATTGTGTGAACCCAAAACATACTTCTTATGCCCCATTTACCTAATTGTAAAAAAAAACTTTTTTTTTCTTGTAGAAAACCATCAAATACAAAAAGGATAGCCACTCCGATTCAGTACTTGGTCTCGCTTGGAACAAGGAGTATAGGTATGGATTTCTGATTGATCAGTGTATGATGTTTGTGTTAGAGAGGTATAGTCAAAGTTCATATGTTGTCTTGTCCAACATTCTACGCAGGAATATGCTTGCCAGTGCTAGTGCTGATCAATCAGTCAAGGTTTGGGATGTGAATACCAGCAGCTGTACTGTCACTATGAACGACCATACTGACAAGGTAGAATCCGAAATTTTGTAGCATGTTGTTTAAACATCATATTGTTTTGTATCAAGGACCGAAAACCCCCCTTATAGTTTTTTTTATGTAGTAGACCTCTTCTGCATGTTAAAGTAAACAATATGCATTTACTATTCTTTGAAATTCTATCTGATCAAAATTGAATAATTTATAAAACATTATCAGCAGCTTGCTTACAAAATTATGAAAGAAGCAAATTCATCATCTTGCTCCGCTTTGTCAGGTTCAAGCAGTTGCATGGAATCCATTTGCATCACAGATTCTTCTGAGCGGGTCATTCGATCATACAGTTTGCTTGGTGATAAAGCTTTTCTCCTTCTTCCTTTTTGCCCCTTTTGTTTTGGAAAGCTAGGACTGTGGATTAGCTTCTTAGTTTAAGATGCTAATTCAACTTTCAACATGTCTTGCAGAAGGATGTGAGGTATCCATCTCACGGTGGATATAAATTTCCAGTATCCGCTGATGTTGAAAGCTTGGCTTGGGATCCACATTCTGAGCATTCATTTGTGGTCAGTGCTTGCACTGTGTTTGTGACTTACCCAATCTATGTTTCAAGGCATTGATTGTTTAGTATGCTACATGATTAGATAGTACCTTTAATTCTGTTATGGGAATCGTTAGTGTGGAGATTGTGAATAATTCTATCAACATGGGGCCATTAGTATGGTAACTAAATTAAGGATGGGATTGTGTCTGTTGGTTAGGTAAATATGCTATGGAATCGGGGGTGGAATGACATTGAAATTATGTGCATATTAGTTTTATCTATTTGCTTGCTGAATTTTTTGACACTTAATTTTATTTTATGCAGAAAAATAGAAGTATTTATCTGTCTCCTAGTTCCTATGGACTAAAATGAAAATAAAAACTAGATAAATTCAATCTGCCATGTAATCTTTTCCCCTTGGCCAAATCACTAAATTTCTGTTCCCTATAACTGTATAAGACCTAAAAGTTTTTGTTTTTGTTAGGATGAATAAATCTGTTTTAAAATCTGCTTGGAGATTTTAATCTGGATGTGTATTGGACATTAGAAATTGCTGACCAGAGTAGAGTTTCGTAAAACTTTCAGGTCAGCTTGGAGAACGGTACAGTTACTAGTTTTGATATCCGTCTTGCTAGTTCTGATCCGACTTCCGCGACGAAGCCATGTTTCACTATCCATGCTCATGATAAGGCAGTGTCATCGATGTCTTTTAATCCTCTAGTCCCAAATGTAAGTGAAATATTTTTTTTATACCCTCTAGTTCGTGTTTCCTTTTTAATATATTTTCCTTACTTTCTTTCCCCGTGTATTTTGGGCAGCTTCTTGCAACTGGTTCCACGGACAAGATGGTACTTTCTTGTTGTCTCTGTTTGCTGCTTATTACCTAGTTTTGATTTATTCCGGGGGATGGGAGCTACTCCAATGGTTGTTAATTTAAATAATGTGCTGCAGGTTAAACTATGGGATTTGAGCAACAACCAACCTTCTTGTATTGCAACAAGGAATACAAAAGCTGTATGTGATTTGCAAATTTTTTGTGGTTGAATCTTCATTTGATACATATTTTTCTTTCAACCTTTAGAGAACACAAGGATTTAGAGGGTTATACATTTTGATTGATGTACTATCATGATGACCACTTTGTTTTATTTTATTATCAGGGAGCTGTCTTCTCTGTTTCTTTCTCAGATGATTGCCCCTTTTTTCTTGCTATTGGTGGTTCTAAAGGGAAGTTGCAGGTAAGTTGTATTCTCTTTGAAAGGGAAGTTTGTATCTAGTTTCTGTGTTTTTGGGCTGTAAATGACTGAGAATTTGTCTTCGCTTATCATTTGCAGCTATGGGATATTTCTTCAGAAGATGCGGTGTTGAATAAATACGGGAAATATGCCGCGCAAAAAAGGCCGCCCAAATCGTAATGTAAATGTAGTTTCTAAAATATTGGTTTTTGAGTTATATAGTGAAAATATTAGCTAATCTGTCAATTTTGATTTGTGTTTTGGTAGGGTGGTTTTTGGCTCTCCTTATTTATTAATATGAGCATGGTTAATTTTTACTGTTGCTGCACATTGCCGGGACAAAGGGACAAAGGAAGGGAAAGAGTTTGGTGGAATCAAGATAGCAAATCATCTTCCCCTATGTATTGAGTTGAGATATCAGTTAAACATTCTAATGGCCTTTATATACAACAACAAAAAAAAACCTAGCTTAATCCCGTACGTGGGGTCTGGGTAGGGTAGTGTGTACGGAGCCTTACCCCTACCCTATAAAGACAGTGAGACTGTTTCCGATAGACTCTCGGCTTAGGCCTTTATAAAATGGTTTGTTTGTTTTTTGGATGTACCTACACAAGTTCTCACACATCGGCAACCGGGGTCCATAACGTCGTGTGATATCTTTTTATCTGCTTCAGCATTGTTAGGTAGAGTTATTTTGTACTTGTACTGGTGGGACGTAGCAGGTTCCGAATGGTGTAGTAGTGTTGAGGTGTAGTTGCTCGGGCACTACCATTATCGAGAAAAAGAAAGATTGATGGACTTGTAATTTGGTAGGGAAATGGTTAAATTCTTTTACCAAGTAAGCAATTTCGTCGCCATTATTGCTGTTGCGATTATTGCCGTCTTTATTTGCAAATGAAATTATCTTTACATCATTACACGTTGATTGCCTTTTTATTTACTTTAGTTTTGTCAGTGTGAATATAGATAATTCTTTTTTGTCACAAACAGATTATTTTCCAGAATTGCATAATACTAGGAGTCTACTTTGTGATAAATCTTTCTGGTTACAAACAGCTATGTAATGAAGTTAAAAACACATAATACATTTCCACATATTTTGCTAAAANTATATATATATATATATATTGAACCTTTCGAAATAAGATTTATAGTTCGAAAGAAAAAAATATAACTGTAGATTCACAGAAAAATCGTCATAAATAGCAAATACAAAGGGCAATATATGTTACTATTTCTCAATAAATGCATATGTCCATTGAAAATGCAATTAGTTATCCAAAAAGAAAAAAAAAGTACTCCGTCTTTACTTTGTGAGTGGACAACCTTTCCAAATAGAAGACCACACAGAGAGTTATATGGAGCCTGTTTATCGGGTAAACTGAATCTAATATTTTTTACTTCGGGCATAAAATGTACGTGTGAAAATTTGTTAAAATTTTGATGTATATCTAATTTTGAACATAAGCTATATTATTGTGAAAATACGAATACAATGTTGGTTTACAAAAATAATTTTATAATATTAGCCATAATAACTCACAATAAAAGGTCATAACAGAAATTCTAGATGCCGTTAGCTATGTAATCTTTTTAGTTTTAGGACATACTTCATAGTGAAATCCTAGGCGTTAGCCATATAATTCTATTTCTTTTAGGATCTTATTAGTAATTCTTAAATCCTGGAAACTTTTTGCTAAATCAATTTATTTGTAAATATGCCGATTTGAGAATATAGCAAAAGAAAGTTGGTGAATTATATTTGACGAAACTTAACTATGCCCGTTTGGGTAATTAATCGAGAAAAAGAGACAAATCAGTAAGTAGTATATCAATCCACAAATTTTATTACTCCCTCCGATTTACAATAAATGACTTTTTGGCATTTGGCATACCCATTAAGAAAATATTAACTCATAGAAAAAAATAAGTATCTTGACTAAATTACCCATAATTAAAATTTGCATAGTGTTAACTTGACACATTGAGATATGTAAATAAGGGCAAGTTTGAAAAATTAAAGTTAATTCATTCTTGATTATATAAAAATGACACTTACTTTGAACCAGAATAAAAAGGTCAAAAAGTCACTTATTATGGTTTATGTTCTTTTTAAGTCTAAATCCCAATATCATTTGGAAACAACATATATAACTTTTTTTCTTTTTGAGAATTGTCACATTATCATGTAATTCTATTACCCGTTGGAATCTTATTAATAATTACTTTCCGGACATAGATATTTTTTTGGTAACTATCATCTTTCATTAATTACCAAGTAAAATATTTACAAATGCAGCTACACTTTATAGCTTAGTCTGCTGATCAGATATCCAGCAAAGAAACTCAATGATTGTGACTATCTTGTATATACTAGCTAGGAAATCTATAATTCTAAAGAGACATCCTAATATTGTCATTAGCTCTAACATGGCAAGTATACGCTATTTTTCTAGCTATAATATCACTTGAACTTTTTTTTTTAACCCAACGGATGTGGTACAGTGGATGTGACTGCTCTTCCCTTAACCAGAGGTTTCGGATTTGAGCTTTCGGTACAGAAAAATACTTGGTAGGGAGCACTTCCCTCCGAATAGGGTCCGGATATAGTCGGGCTCCAATACGAATACTGGACACCAGGGGAGAAACCAAAAAAAACTCTTTTTTGTACAAATCCATTTGAAAAAAGAAGGAGCCAAACACTTCAACAAAAGAAGTTAGTTTTTAGCTTTGGTCATGGTGCAAATATACAATAATAAAATTTTGCGAACTTTGTGAAATGTATTATTCCCTCCAATTATTATAGTCTTTTTATTGAACTTATCACCCAAGTTTTTCTTACTTTAGCTTATGTATTCATATGTTATTCCTAATATTAAAAATTAGCCATACGTGTAGCTGATATACTCCTCCATAACTCCATTGTTACTTTTTTCTTTAATTTATTAACCACGTTATTTTGCAAAGAGCTATTCAAATTAACCACGTTTATTAACCAAGAATTTATTCAAGATGATTCATAAAAAGAGCTATTGGATGTATATATTTGCAGATTGTTTCATTCAATTCTATCAGTATTAGATCAAAATATTTTTTCTCTTTTCAACTTGGATTAAATATTATATTATTTAGTTCTTTCCGAATTGGCGTTCACATTATTAATTAAGTCAGTTATTAATATTCTATTCGTTTTATTGAAAAGATGTACTAGATTAGGCCGTCAGGCCTTTATAGCTCCTTTGGGTCTTTTTTAAATGCACATTTTAGGAATTTTAATTCTAAAAGAAAAAATATATAGGGATACACAATTGTTTACTTAGTTAATGAAATCATAAATGGCTCATGTACAATTGTGAAGGTAAAAAGCTTCAAAACAAGTTTCGAATGTTTAAAACCATCATAAATAGCTCATCTGCAACTGTGAAGGTAAACAATTTCAAAATAATTACGTCCTTTTCGAATGTGTAAATCCAATAAATTGACCATTCTTTATATGCAGGATTATATTGTAGATTTAATGTTCAAATAACAAGCTTTATAAATAGAGATACACTGTGGTATTCTTCTTGCAAAACATGCTACAAGAAGGTATATGTTAAAAACAAAATTGTTAATTGTATGATAAAGACATTGATTGCGAGGAAAGGTAAATAGATAAAAAATCTCACTTTTTTTAATATTAAATAAATGTGTTTCTAATAAAATTATGTTACATTTTATAGATATTGTTTAGCCTATTTGTGGGAGGTTGATTGATATTAAGGCTAGTGCACTATGTAGAGTCTTAAATGCCCCTGATGTCCCATGTAGTCCGTTATGTGACTTTATTGACCGGCCCGCTTACAGAGATATTAGGCACACATTGTATGGTGTTAATTCGAATGCAGTGTGGATACGAGACAAGAGATACAACAACCGTACTTCTTTGCCTAAAGTGAAGTTTACGAAAATTGCTAAAGTGTGGTTGCGCTTGGTGAACACGAGACTACTTCCGTGTGAGCATGATTCTGCCGTTGTCCGAGAAAAAGTATGTCTAGTGTATTTCTTGATGAAAGGGTGACCGGAGAATGTGAGCCAATTGATACGTAGCAAAATGGCACAATCTAGAAAGGGCACGCTTACTAGTAGTGGTGTTCATGGTTCGGTTTGGGTCGGTTTTTTCCGAAAAAGAAACCAAATAAGTAAGTCGGTTTTTTAAATTTTGGAACCAAACCAAACCAATTAAGTCGTTTTTTTATCGATTCGGTTTAATTCGTTTTTTGTCGGTTTTTCGATTTTTTCAGTTATTCATCATTTTTTTCTTAAATATGAGACATACACTACCAAACGCATACTCCGGCGACTATATTTTCAATATAATACTATCAAATCAATTGCTCTTTGAGAAATCTATCATTTACCAAGATATATTGATGATAATTGAATCAAATAGTGATGAATAATTAAAGTACTCAATTAAAATTCGATTATTTTTAACATGAAATAAATTCTTATACTTAGCAAAAGAAAACTACAAATCAAACTAGAATGTAAATGCAAAGAATTGGATTATTATAATAGCAAAGAACTAGACTAAAAATATAAATGACTAATATGTACCATGAAATTTTAGAAACTTTATATAAAAATATAACATATATATAGGTGTAATAATACATTTAAATAGCTACTTTTATAGTCGATTTGATTCGGTTTTTTTCGGTTATTTTTTGATTAAAACCAAAACCAAACCAAATTTGATTGGTTTTTAAAATTCAAAATCAAAACCAAACCAAATTTGATTGGTTTTTAAAATTCAAAATCAAAACCAAACCAAATTTGATCGGTTTTTAAAATTCAAAACCAAAACCAAACCAAATTTGATCGGTTTTTAAAATTCAAAACCAAAACCAAACCAAACCTAAAAAATATCGGTTTTTGGTCGGTTTGGTTTGGTTTTTCAATTTTTTATGAACACCCCTACTTACTAGGATATTCTTTGTGAATTTGCTTACGCAATACTTGCGTAAAGAGCAGGTAGATGAGGAGCCCCAGTTTGGCATGTTGCTTCCACCCACATCTCGAGTGTCACGACCCAACATCCCACCACAGGCGTCGTGATGACATTTAGTCTCTAAGATTAGGTAAGCCGACTATAATAACAATTCAAGCCATTTTTTTTATATATATAATTTAATACAAGTGTCAAAACCAACAACGAAAATAATTACAAAGAACCTCCCAAGACTGGTGATATTGAGTCACGAACTCTAACTGAATACATGAAATGATCTCAAGGATCGAATACTCAATACTATTTGATTAATAATTAACAGTACAATAAAAATAAAAAGACTCCAAGGGACTGCGACGACCAAGCAGTTCTACCTTGAATCCTTGCGATCGCACTCTAACTCTATCCGAGTCCGATAGCTCCAATACCTGGCTCTGCACGAAAATGTGCAAAAGTGTAGTATGGGTACACCACAGTCGGTACCCAGTAAGTATCAAGACTAACCTTATTGGAGTAGTGACGAGGTACAGTCAAGACACTCACTAGTCTAATAACCTGTGTAATATAGTATACAAAAATAATAGGAAAACAAATAACAATAATGACAACACTAATCAACCAGTGATATACACAGCAGGGCAACAAGGACACCATTAATATTGCTCAATAAATAATAAGTACAAGTACACTAAATTAATCAAGTCCTTCAAATATAAACCTTTCGCCTATATGCTTCTCAAATAATAATCTTAAGGATATAATGCTTTACAATAAATATATTTCGGATATACTCCCTTCAAATAAATAGTTTTCAAATATAATCCTTTCAAATAGATCTCTTTCAAATATAATTCCTTCAAATAA